CAACTATAATGCGATCGTTTGTAGACTCGAAGTAGAACCAGACGGACCAGGACCAAGAGTACCGTGAGGAGTACGGAGACGACTGCACTGAAGGTGCCACATCCCACCCAACCTCGTAGCACCTATTACGCATGGCTAATATAGAACTGCTAGTGCTTTACTTTATTGTTATGATCACACTATGATAGGACTTGCACGGTAGTATGCTTTCTTGATGGCCTTTACCTTGACGCAACCTTACCCCTGCTCACCCTGTTGTTAGGCTAGTCACACGCTTGCTGCTATATTTCATTGCTTATTACTTCTACTACGCTTGTACTACATTGATGCGTGGTGAAAACTGGTGTTACCTAGACTATGGGGAGAGTGCTGCGTGTGTGACTTGGGTGTGTGGAGGGTGAGGGTTGTGTCGACCAAGTTGGAGTATACGACGAGCCTGGGGTAAGTCTTGCCATGGGGTGCTACCTAGGCACCCCTGGAATGGATACCTGTGGTGGGTAAATGGTAATTGGAGGTGGCCTTGGGTGTGAACCTCGGAGAGGTGGAGCCCGGGGTAGAGGTGCTGTGGTGGCACGTAAAATGGAAACCCTGATGAAGACATTCTGGCTTGGTCAATCCCTAAGGACTTACTAGTACTCAGACTCACCAGGAATCCTTTACATCCCACTCGCCCTATATGGTGCGGGACGGTCGGACTACTTGGTAGAACAATGCCACTACTGCTAGGCGAACGTGTGCAAGGAGGTACGGGGCGCGCGGTTTCCCCCACACCCTTCCGAGACTTCAAGAGGCCTTGTCGACCTGGCTCTTGACATCCAGAGGGCCCTGGCTCTGTCTACGACTCACAATATCAGCCATCCCAGACTAGACTTGGGATGTTCCAGGGCTGAGACGTAGGGTGGCATCGTTCTAGGCTAGCAAGCGACCAGAATTCTGCCTAGGAGATACATGGCTCCGAGGATGGCTAATCTTGTGGGTATGTAAAACCTCTACAAAGTGTTTGGTTGATCGATCGATACATATGCTGACTTGTCGGCTATGGACCTTTCCTGGGTTTCGCTTAAACTAGATAGTGAGATGAGTCCTTCTCTTCTCCCCCCTAGGAGTGAGTGTTCGGACGTAGCCAGGGCTACAGGCCATGAGACAGTGCCGAGAGGGAGTTGGCCTGTCGACTGAGCGATGGTATGGTTGTGATGTGGTGATGATGTGGAGATAGTGGTATATCGATCCTAGGATCGAAACCTGGCTCTGGACGGGAATGGGGTGGAATGGGTGTGGGAATGGTGTTAAAACTTGACCAACTATTATTATATACTTGATATGCTAATACATAGGAAACCCCAGCCTTATAGGTTCCTTTTGATTATATCCAACTTGCATCTAATTTCCACAAAGCAATGCTCATAGGGTGGGAGTGGCCAGTACAAATCGTACTGATAAATTTTGGCACACAGGTTCTGCTGAGGAGTATAGCTTTGAGGAGTTTAACGGTTGAGGGGTTCGTTCCTATGCTCGAGTTTGGCGATCTTGTCTTCAAAGCTGTTCTGAATGAATGGTACTTTTGATTCCGCCAATGCGGCGATGTAATAATTTATGTAATTCCGCACTATTTGTACTCTGATATTACGTTGTATGGATGTGATATTCGACTGGAAATTTTGGGTAATATGATCTACTACGGTCTTATTACACTTCGACTCTGTGGATTTTCCTTCGTGAAAATCTGGTCGCTTCAAGGAGCATCCGAGTGTCGCCCCTCTATCCACCCCTGCGTGCACTCGGTGCATCGTGCACCGCGCACGCCTACGCTCGCGTGATCCCGATCCGCCATGGACCGAGTTTGTGGTCCACGGCACACCAATGTTTGGTCCACCATGAGCCAGCTCACGAGGACCCAGCCTAGTAGAAGCCTAAGCCGCCATGTGGACGCCTGAGCGCCCAACATGTGTACGGGCTAGGCCGGCCTGGACTAGCCCATATCCGGCCAAGTGGGCCTAGTCAAGCCTAGTCAACGTTGCCCATTGACCGATCAACGTTGACCGTTGACCTAGCCCCACTATCAGTGACCACACATGTCTCAACCAATCAGAAGCCTCCACGTGTCACCCTGTGAATTTTCCCCTCCTTTTCTTTTTCAGAAATTTATTAAACTTTAGAAAATTCATAATAAATCCATTCGACCTCAGAAAAATATGAAACCAATTCCTAAATTTTTATAAAAATGAGCTCTACGTCATAGGCCTATGTTTGAGTGCATTTGGATCTTTTGCTTTTTTGTTTCTTCTTTATGAACATCTATAGGAGTTGCTTATCACGGCTATATGTCTCATTTAAAAGCCCCGGAGGAGCAGGACTTTGATGAGGACAACTACTAGTACACTGAGGAGATGGGAGATGACCAGTCAGCAGGTGCCACGTCCCATCCAACCTCATAGAATCCTATTTGACATGCAATCATTTAGTTGCTAGTGCTTTTACTTTTATGCAATGATCTGTAATAGGTTGCATGGTAGAATTGCTTGAAGCCATTACCTTGATGCAACCTTTTGCCCTACACTATATACTTGCGACTTACTTCTACTATTCATTATATCTATGATGTGATGCATGGTGAAGGATTATTTGTGAGTGGCTAAGGCACTAGGTGCCGATAATGTAATAAAAACTTAGGGAGATCTTAGCGTGCGTCTTGGATGTGTGGTGAGGGTCGAGTCGACCGAACAAGATTCTACGATAAGCCTTTGGGGAAAGTCTTGCCAAAGGGGTGTGACCTGAGCGCTCCTTGAGAGTCGTACCTATGGCGAGTATAGGTTAGTGGTACAGATTCTGGGGTGGAGAACCTTCATGGGGCGAACCCCTGGAATAGAGGTGTTGTTGAAGCACGAGGCACTGTTAGCCTTGAGAAGATGTCTTGTTTGGTCACCCTAAGGACCTATATGTTCTAGGAACTGGTTCATAGGAACCATTACACACCACTGGCTCATGTGGGTGGGAGACGGATGTGGACTGACCTAGGCGATGCCACTACTGCCAGGTTGTAGTTGACAGTGTAGGGAGGTAGGGTGTTTGGCAAAAGGGTCTCTAGCCTAGTGGTTAGAGCACCTTAGTAGCACCCAACAGACCTGGGGGAGCGAATTATATAGGTCTAGAATAAAAATATATATAAAAATAGGTTGGGGTTTCCCCTACTGACTTCGGTCAAAAAAGGTAGGGTGTTTGGACTCGATCCTCCTAAGACCTTGGCAGCCCGGCATTGCGTTTCACAGTCTCAGTGTGTCGGTGGACTCCGGGGTGCCTTAGGGCTAAGTGGTAGGGTGGTATCGTCAAATTGGAAAGTAGCCCAAAATCATCCTAGGCGGGGCACTGCCGATGATGGTGGTCTTGTGGACCTAGTGTAAACCTCCGCAGAGTTTCTAGGCGATCGATCAATACATAGTCTTTCTTTTACGGCTATGCTGGACCTTTCCTATGTTACTGTTTCACTTGACTAGAGAGAGGAGTCCTTTCTTCTTCTTCCCCCTAGGTTGTTTTTGGATTGCGGCATGAGCCGATGAGGCAAGGTACGAGAGGGAGTCGTACTTGTTGCCTAGAGAGTAAGAGTGTGGTGAGATGTGTGGATAGGATGGATGGATGGACGGACGTGTGGATGAGATGGGTTAAAACTTGTGAAACAATTATAAAATATTGATGAACTACCCATAGGAAGACTACAGCCACAAATAGGTTTTTGCTCTACCCTTGCATTCCACTACCACAAAAGCAACGCAAAGCATAGGGTGGGAGCCAGTGGCCAGTACAAGTCGTACTGAAAGTTATTTGGCAGGCGCTGAGTACGACGACCAGGCCGATAGAGGAGAGGATTAGAGGTGTTCGTAGACGCCTTCGCTCGCTAGATGCTCCGCCTACTCTAATACTATTTTGGATGATGTGTGACTCTAATGATTCTACCAAGTGGCGTTGTAACAAATGATTAAACCTTTATATTTGTACTTCTAAGATATGTATTTGATGTATGACTGTGATATCAGCTGTTATTTGGATAATGTGATGGCATGATCTCCTGGGACTATCACATTACAATTCGTATCGGTGGATTTCCCTTCGTGGAAATCGTGGATCGTTACAGAAAGCTCCTGATTGCATCCAAAGATCTCCATGTATTGGTTCTCGAATTCTTTGGCTTCTCCACAGCAGAAAATTTCACTTTTATGGAAGTTGATTTTTAGACCCAATAGTTGCTCGAATGCACAAAGCAGTAGCTTCATGTTTTGAGCCTTCTCCAGGTTATGTTCCATAAAGAGGATCGTGTCATCGACGTATTGTAGTATGGGTAGCCCACCATCTACTAGGTGTGGCACCACACCACCCACTTGACCATCTGTTTTGCTCTCTCGATAAAAATTGCAAGCATATCGGCAACAATGTCAAAGAGTATCAGAGATAGGAGATCGCCTTGTCGAAGACCTTTTTTCGTTTGGAAGTAAGGTCCTGTCTTATCATTAACACTGATTGCCACGCTTCCGCCTGATACGAAGAAATTAACCCACTCAATCCATTTGGGTGAGAAGCCTTCCATCTGAAGCATTTGCAATAAGAATGACCAGCGCACTTGTCATAGGTGCAATTCATTTGAGTTGAACTACTAAGGTGCATGCAAATTAAACACCCACCTTCCTATCAGTGCCATCGTCCCCACGCTCATACACTAGTTAAGTCTTCACCACCTCCTAGTCGTAGTCATGGACCATGACTTGATACCGACCTGCCCTGCCTCGCCTCTCCCTGTCGCAAGTCAACTTGCCTCGCCCCGTTAGCAGCACCAAGACAAGCCGATGATTAAGAATCTGAATCTGTCGATTCACTCAATCATTAACTCCCTCTGAAAACCAAGAAACCAGGATTCCTGTTCCTGCGGATAATACGAGCGCCAGCGCAATGGGAATCGACGAATAAGCTTGACCTGGCCTTGCCGTGAGCCGGCGTGAGATGGTGAGGCGGCCATGGTAATGATCGCCGCTGGAGAGGCTGGCGAGGGAGGAAAGCGCCAGTGCCAGACGAGCAGGTGGCGCTGGAGCACGTCGTGGTTGACGTTGACGACTGCTGGGCACCGGCCGATCAGGAGCGACAGGGGCTCGGGTGTCGGATCTGCCACCTGGCCGACGGCGACGGGCACGGTGAGCTGCCCGAGCGGCTGGTGAGGCTCGGCTGCGGTTGCCGCGGCGAGCTGGCGGCGGCGCATCACCGCTGTGCCGAGGCGTGGTTCTACGTCCGGGGCAACAGGTACGCATTTCCATGAAGGGTCTCCGTTCTCAACTTCAGCTCATCTTGACTTGCCATTGCAAGTTTGCAACTAGTCCGTGCTCCTTAGCATCATCAGTTTCAGTTCTTGACTTTCCATGAAGTATCAACTTTTAGAGAACTTAGGACCTAAGTCTCAGAACTACTTCGACAATAATTAATCATGTTGGCAATCATATAACAGAATACAAAAGGAATCTTTGCTAGCTAAGAAAAAGGAATGAAGATAGGCAATCATGTTGGAATGTTCTGTTGTGACTTGTGACAACACCTAGTTGGGAGAACTGAACGATGGGGTTGGTGAACAGTAATAACAATGGCTGGCAGTTCCTTTTTATGCTAGTTTCAGCGTTTCACTGTATTTCTCATGAGACTACCTGAAGTCCTGAACACTGTTACCAATCAGTTAATAAGAAATCAATTTGGTTTGGTGGTATATATAAGGCTAAAGAATGTTTCGCCGGTGGATTGTATATTTTGCCTGAAATCCTGAACCTGAAAATCTGCTGTACCATGGCTGCCTGTTGTTGCAGGCGTTGCGAGATCTGTGGCGAGAACGCGATGAACATCACCGGCGGCGGCGGTGGCGGCAAGCAGTTCATACGGCAGTGGCAGGACACGGCGGCCGTCGATGGTGGAGGCTCAACCAAGGCATGCGGTGGCTTCTGCAGGAGCCAGACGTTCTGCAACTTGCTGATTGTGTTGCTCATCATCGCGTGCCTGTTGCCGTGGTTCTTCCATAACCACCTGATTTCAAATCGTTTTTAAGAGAATTTGAAATCTGCAAGGTGTTTCATGCGCGCTGCCTTTGGAGTGATTGTGAAGCCACGGCTGTGGACCGGCGCAGGTCTTTTTTTCTTCTTTTTGGAAAACGGGGGCATCTCCGGCTTCTGCTAATGCATATAGGCATATTCGTTTGTCTTGTAATCTGTACTTTTTCAGCGAACGAACAGTATTTTTTTCTCACAACAAATCAGTCAACGATACTTTCAGCCATGGCTTATTAGCGAAGCGAACGGGGCTTACAAAATTTGTAACTTTAGTTATCCGGCTTCTGCTAGTGCACACAGTTTCATTTTTGTTACCAAGTTTTTAGCTACCCAGCTAATATGAGGAGATAAAATTATAAATTAGTGGGTTGCATTGCATTGTGAGTATATTAGATAGAGAAATCTGCTTAGATGGTTAGGTTCTTGGGATAGAATCTGCCAACAAAAGTTATAAATTGACGTGTGTGCTCATATTATCCTAGTTGCTAGATACTCCCTCCGTTCCATAAAAAAAAATCGATATGCGACTCGTGCTGGCCAAACTTGGTTAAACAATACGACACTGCTAGCGTCCAGACGTTCAAACGAACGCCGCGCCGCGGCTGCAGTCCGTTTTCGCGCGTCCACGCATGGGCCCGTGCCGTCCAGACATCGCTCGCCCGTGCCTGCGTCTCGCGCACCCATAGGGGACCCGCACCGCGCGTCTGCTGGGACCGCTCACACCCCCTCCTGCTTCATCCCATATAAAATACCCGATCTATTTTTAAAACATCCAGATGCAACACTTGCAACATACAAAAAAAAGACAGATGAAACATTTGAAATATGTGTCTGAAACACATGAAAAACACTTCTGCAGCATCCATATATAACACTTGCAACATATGTATGAAACATATGCAACATCCAAATAAACACACTTGCAACATACATTAAAAAACAAATGAAACATTGGGAACAGACGCTTGCAACATATGCAACATCCCGATCTAGTTTTGCAGCATCCGTATGAAACAATTGCAACATACCTCTAAAACATTTGAACTGTGCGTTTGCAACATGCATCGTATCCTGGTGTGGCATCCTCCGCCATTTGCATCGGGGCATCGCAGCCGTAGCAGGAAGCGAGGCCGAAGGGCTTCCGTGCCAGGGCCCAGTGCTTCTCCTTGCACTGGCAGCGGTTGTCGGCGTCGTCGGGCGGGTGGGGCGGGGCGGGCAGAGCAAGAGCAGCGGGACAGGCGGCGGAGCAGCGGCAGGTGCAGCGAGGCGAGCGTGCGGAGCAGCGGCAGGAGCAGGTGGTAGGAGCAGTGATGGCGGAGCAGGAGCATGAGAAGGCGGGGCGGGCGGTAGGAGCAACGGAAGGGACGCGGGGCACGGAGTGCGGAGCAGAGCGGGGTGAGGTTGGGTGCAGCGCTGCCACGCTGGAGAAGGCCGCGGCTAGCGGACCCCGCGATGGAGGCTCCTGCGGCGGTCGCATGCGTGCAGCACGATGGAGGAGCTCATGCATGCAACGGTGGGAAAAGAAAATATCGTTAGCCTTTTTTTCTTTATGGAGAAACCATGCTGAAGGTGAAGCGAGGTGACATTTTTTTTCTTTTTGGAGAAACCGTACTGAAGGTGGAGCGAAATTGTACCTTATAATAAATGAATGAATGGTGAAATTGTGCCTTATAATGATCAGAACGGAGGGAGTATAACATCATGAGAACGCCAGATGCCCCAATAAAAGGCAGCTGCACCTAAATATATTTCTTTTCACATATACTCTTATAATGCAGAACTCTAACACCATATTCCTGTGCAATTTGGTGAAGCCACAGTTAGGCCAATCCTAACGAGAGTTTTATCCCCATTTAATGAGCTGAAACTTCAGCAAAAATGATGGCATGGCAATGGCACAGGATCCATGAACTTGTAATTCGAAGCTATGAAATTCCTATTTACCGTTGAACTTTCATGCAATTCGTGAACTGGTATTCATTCTTGCGAATTTACAATTTCATAGGATTCGTGGACGATTCGAATTCATTTTCATGAATTTCATGAGTCCATGTTATCCAAAACAAAACAGGACTGACAGATCCATAATTTGTGTGTGCTGAAATGTTGCCTGTGGCTGTACAGGAGGGAGATGGTAAGACTGCCCACAGCAACCACCTTCACCGATGCTGGGAACACTTAAAAGCCTCCAGCGTCAGCATCAATGCCCATGCGAATGTGGGGCTGGTTTGTCAGAACGTCACTGTCTCTATCTGCTCTAATGGCTGGCTGTGAAATTCTTTCTTTATTCAGCAAGCACCGGTGAACCTACATGCCACGGTGCTTATTTTTTCAACTTGACATCGCACTCTACAATGGCATGAGCCGATGCCTCATCCTTCTCTCTCCTAATTCAGCACCGGTGAAACCCAACGCTGTGGGCAGTCTAAGAGATGACATATGCTTTACTTTTTTTAAGCTAACTCGTGCAAAGGACAGCACACAACATAAGAGTGAACAAAGTACCTGGTAGATGTTCCTCAAGCTTTTGCTGGCGAGTTCACATCAACACAAGAAAAACAGCAGCTATTTGTTGCTGACTGCTAGTCTGATCATCAAGATGGAATTATGGACACAGAAAGTCAACTCGAACCGAAGCAAAACTGGCAGTATGCAACAAACATACAATTCATTCATGGTACACAGATTAAACTTAAACTGGAGTACTTAAGGGCAACTCATTTGACGACTATCAATGATTACGAGGTGTTTGCTTGGGCCTTGTTGAGTATGACACCTTCGTACTTCACCTGGAACCACTTCATGGCATCTTCTTTGGTCACCCTGTGCTGGATGCCAACGCGTGACTTGCACCTGCGCCGGCGAGCGACACGGTAACCAGCCCGCTCCAGAACGACGTAAAAGTCCATACCATAAATACCAGTAGACGGGTCATACCTGGAAAAAAGGCAAGCAAGTTATTTCCAAACACACAATAGTGATAACTGGTATGCAATGCCTACGCAGATATCCAGTTCAAACACAAGATAATGAGAAAAAAGATCATATCCTAGATAGAAAGGAACAGACAAAAGAACATTACTCCCTCCATTCCACAAAGGTTGTAGTTCTAGTTTTGTCCAAAGTAACATTTTCTATCTTCGACCATCAGTTCTTCAAATATTTATACAGTTTAACATATGTATATTGTGCAAGTATTTCTCATGGTGAATCTAAAAACATAAAAGTTATAATGTTAAACTTTACAAATTTCTAGAAATTGATGGTCAAAAAGAAAAAAGGTTTGCTTCGGACAAAACGAAAACAACCTTTCTGAAACAGGGTAGCATTTTAGCAGTTAATACACTGTTCAAAATGATTGACTACAGACGATACCCAACAGTTACCAAGAAAACTAAATAGCAATCAAACTCAGACAGTGACTTTACAAGAACAAACTTCTTTGAGAATCATTATAGCATGATGTGCGTTTGCTTCGCACAGAACTGCGCCACTTTCGACTGCAAAACTAAATCTAATCCACCAAGTAAAAACTGAAACAAATTATTTCCTTCATGTAATAGGGCATCTCTAGAGGTGCAAAGCAAAGACACGTCATAAAGAAGCTAGCTGGAACTACAAGCTCTAGTGTTTGGTTCATTAGGAATTTCTAAGGCCTGACCCATCAATGAAATATATTATTCTCACATGAGCATTGCATGGCTCCCTCTGTCAGGTCCATGCTTGGGCAAACTCCAAGGCACAGAAAGAATTAGTTTTCTATTCATTGCACCAGGTTCAAATTCTAGGCCAATGCTCAGGTTTTCCTTAGCTCCATGTATTCCAATGTAATTCAACCTTGCTATCCCTTTCTCTCCTCCTAGCACCCAATTAAATTAGACACAACATTGCAGATGCCCTAAAATCACAGTTTACCTCAAATACAGTCTAGATATTCCATAATCCCCATTTATCGCTTAAAAACTAAAAAAAAAGGGCGTACCCAGTGCAGAGAGCTCCCGCTCTGTGCGGGGTCTGGGGAAGGGTGTCAGTGGCAAGCCTTACCCTCGCCTGTGCAATGCGAGGAGACCGCGACTCGAACCCGAGACCTTCCGGTCACGGGCGGTAAGACTCTACCGCTTGCACCAGGCCCGCCCTTCATCGCTTAAAAACTAACACCTAACTAAATTAAGTGTGACAGTAACATAATCAAACTAGGACAGCACAGCACAGAGAACATCATAAAGGCAAAATTCCTTAGACCCCAGGTGACAATTTAAATTGATAAACAGACAATATCATCAGTCATCAGCTCACAGCTAAGTAGACATACAAGGCATGACTGAATTTGAGGTCAACCGAACAAGGTCAATAAAGCCATCGTGACAGCTAAACTTTGACTTGTCCTGCCAGTATTTGAGTCTTTAGCTAGAACTACACTGAACTACTACAGAATGAATGGCCAGTTATCTCCATTATACACATTCAAATAAACAGGGGTTTCTATACTTTAGGAAACCAAACCATATAACAGTGCAATATTGCAATAGATCATTTGCATAATTTGTAAATGGGATAAAAAATATATCTTACTTGATGCCAAGATCAATGTGCTCCTGAATACCAAAACCAAAGCAGCCAGTCTCACTGAAGTTCCTCCTCAGAAGCTCATACTCCTTCACCTTGAGGCCACTCTCAAGAAGCTGCATCGCCTTCTCACCCCTGACTGTAACATAGCATGCGATCTTCTCATTACGACGAATACCGAAAGACCTCACAGTATACCTTGCTGCAAGAACACCCAACCATCATCGTTATCAGCACTGGTATAAAAGAACTTAAAGAATCATTGATTAAACGAAACTTGACGAAAGGTTATTACCCTTGGAGAAAACAGGGGACTGCCCACTCAACTGCTCCAATACCTATGACAGCAGTGGGAAACAAATTAACAATCGCATCAACCACTCAGCCTATAGTAATCTAAATTCTAAACAGATAACGAAATTCACTCCACAA